AATGATATGAGTCACGACGACGGCGACGCCTCCCCCTCTTCCCGCACACTGTCCCACAACATTTCTAACCCCACGTACTACGTACCTCTGGCTGTCGCCGGTGTCGCCGGGTGTCGCCGGTGTCGCCTCGGGTGTCTGCTTCTCCTTTGCGCGGCGCGTCTGCTCTGCCCCTTGCGCGCCCGTGACTGACCGCCGGACTGGCGAGCGCGACCCGCGGGGTGAGGGCCACGTGCCCGCGCGCGGGCTGCCGGCTCCCGCGCGGCCTGGACCAGGACGTGCCGACGTGCCCCGCTCCTGTAAACAGCCCAGGCGACGGCAGAAATCTTTTTGCCCGCGAGCGGTATATTTCCAGACGGTAGATAAGGACTCGGTTCGGACATTTTCCGTCCGTTCTCCCCGTGGCAACTTCACTTTTAGATCATGATCATGAGTCGGCAGACTCGCGACCTTCGCGTCGACGGCACGTCTGCATATCCACAGCTACACCACCATGAAACGGGATACATCCAAATCCAGAGCAAAATCCGCAAACTTGTACTTGTGTGAACGCCGTGAACGCCATATGGTGGCACAAGTGTGTGAATGTCAAAGAAAAATTCTCACCTTTTTTCCTTTACACCTTTACGAATGGGCACACATCTGAAAGAGGTGTGACATTCACACAATTGCGTTTCGAGTGTACCGTACCAGGTGGTTGGTTATTGCCGCGCACTTTCGTAGTTATACTGTCCCGCATGCACGCGTGCGGGTGGGTTTGCCTCCCGCTCCCCGCGGCTCCTCATGGACCCGTGCACGTAGGCAACCTGCCCGCACTCGTGCATGCGGTACAGTATCACTACAGAGGGTTACGGCGTGAACCAGAGCCACCCTTTACGCTAGCTCGCATGCATGGATCCGGACAGGGTTTGCCTCGTCCTAGCCATGACGCCGGTAGAGCGCCGTGCGACCAGGCAACCCGCCCGCACGTGTGCATGCGGGCAGTATACGCATTTGCTCCGACTGTGCTCGCATCAAGTGTTGCAGCATTGCAGAGCCGCAGGGGCCACGAGGCCTTACGAGGAGTGTGGGACACGGTGTACCTTGTAACTTCTGGTAAAAACGTGTTCACTTCTTGTTGTTCGAACGTCACTCGCTTCAGTTTGATGACTATAGAACTCTGCGTAATCTTGCTGATTAGAGCACGTAACAAGAATACGCAAGCACAAGATTGTAGACTATTTTTCGACGTGTGAAGAAGTTCATGGACAAGATTTTCCTGTATTTATACTTACGTTCTGTATTTTTACCAATCTCTTCGCTGAACTAAGAAGACTGCTTGGTCGCAGCGCCAGTCGACTACGCTTGAGTAAAGTTGATGTCATGCCCATACATAAGCAGACCTGGCCTCCTGATGGAGCTGAAACTGCTCGGCGATGAAATAATATAGTTTGCTTGCTTCCGTACATGCGCGACAGGATGACTATTGAGAGCCGTATGACTCACTTTTCACTTCCCACCTGAGTGGCAACTATTTTGGGTATGTACGCGGGTGAAATTCCAGTATTTGCTAGTCTTAGGACGTGTTTGCTAGCCCCAATACGTGGCTGACTTGGTTCGTTCTAGCCTCACGTATTGGCATTTTGCTCGCTAGGGGAAGGCAAATATTCTCAAGGAGCTGCTAGTCGTGTCCGCCCAAAACGTGGGTACCATCCTCAGCCCATGGCAGCGGAGCGGACTTCTCAAAGTAGTGACAGCCAATGCAACATGACATGTTGCACAATTACAATTTTATTATCAAATGTTTAAAAGTAATCGAAAGTAATGCTACTGTCAAGAAAAATTCGAACCTGCATTTAGGAAAAAAGATCCATTTTATCCATTTCGCGCGTTGAAGATGGCTGGCTACACTGTAAATCTATTTGGTCCTGAACCGAGGGGTACATCACTCCGCGATTCTGGGCGTACACCTACTTTTAGTCGATTTTTTTGGGCCGTGACTTTTTGACTTTTTTTGTACTTTTATTTGACTTTTTTTTTGACTTTTTGATCAAATTTATTTGACTTTTATGATTTTTTCGCTGCTATATTTTTAAAATAAGGGAGAGTTGTGATTTTTGGGCTAGTAATAAGGTTTTTCCAAGACTTTTTGGTACTATTTGTAGCATGAATCGAATAAGAAGAAAATTCGTCATCAGAGTACACCCCCTAAGTAAGAAAAGCAAGGTATTTTCAGTATTTACGTTTTTTGGTAAAGAAATCCCATGAATTCCGATTATTTTATTTTTCTCACTTCACCCACCACCCACCCCTCTCCCTCTTTAAAAGACAGTGATCTAGGACTTTCTGATACAATCACAGTTCCGTAGCTTTTTGGCCTCTTACAGGCAGATATTGCACTCGAATGTTGACTTTTTGTTGACTTTTTCAGTGCCTTTTCTCTGACTTCTCGTCGACTTTTCGTCGACTTCTCGTTGACTTTCATTGACTTTTTTTGACTGTATTTGACTTTTTTGACTTTTTATTTGACTTTTTGACTTTTTTTGACTTTTCAAATGACTTTTTGACTTTATCTTGACTTTTTTCTTGACTTTTTTAATCGCGTACACCTACTTTTAAGAGTGGTGTACCCCTCGTCCTGAACTCTTTTCCAAAAATAGTAGAGGTCAGCACCGGCGCGGATCCGCCACATACTATATTAAGTCATTGAATCTAATCAACTTGAATGGTGAGAAAAGGTGATTGTGGTGTGTGTTTGTGCGCGTCTCCGTGTGAGTGTGTGTGTGCGTGAGCGTGCGCCTCTGCGGTGCGTTTGTCTCACCTCATGAGGGCGGGGAAGACAAATAAAAGGAGGTTTTGCCATCATCGGGTTATGGCAAACAAAAATGCCAAAATGCTGAGCATGGGCGCGGCTGTCGCCTCCTGGGACGACTCGTCTCCCAAAACCCTTCTCTCCCCGGCTGATGGTCTCTGACAATGTGCTGACCTGCTGGGGGGCCGTCCGTCGACAAGGAGCGCCCCCACAGGTGGCCGCCGCGAGTCCGCCGCCCGCCCTCGCCCCGGGTCTCATCTCGCCGCTTACGCCCTGCCCCTTACCTGCCCCGGCGGAACTGACTCCTCGGAATAAAGGAGCGAGTTGAAAGGCGCCGCGCCGCCCCGTCCCCCGGTGAAGCCCCCACGCCCCGCCACCTTCCATTTGTTTGTTTCTCAGCCATATGGAGCAGAAACCCCCGGAGGATACACATTTCATCTCTGAGGAGGGCCACACACAAGAACAAGACACTGCCGCAACCGCAGCCCCAACGGGGTGCCCGCGAGTGTGACGGATGCGTGTTGCGACTCCCTCGCTGTGGTTACTGCGACTGTTGATCGGTGGGACGGTACTGTAGAAGTTGTGACGGCGGTGTGACGGTCTCGTTCGTGACGTTCGTCACGGTTCAACGGAGTAGTAATCGGCCGCGCGTGCTGTTCCACTGGAGGCGGTCGAAAGACACCAGCGTAACGCCCGCGTGACGCCCACGTGACGCCCGAGGTACCACCACCTGACAGCCACGTGACGGTCGCGTGACGGTCGCGTGACGGCCGCGTGACGGCCACGTGACGGTCGCGTGACGGCCGCGTAACGGCCGCGTGACGGCCACATGACGGCCGCGTGACGGCCGCGTGACGGCTGCGTGACGGCCGCGTGACGGCCGCGTGTTGGCCGAGTGCCGCTTGCTTCATTGCTGCCGATATAATGAGGTGCGCCACACAAGTTTATCACCAAATTATTTCGTATCCTGTCCCCGGCCGGCGGCCCTGGTCTGGCCGGCCCTCCCCTGCACACTCCCCCTCTCTGCCGCCGTAACGATGTTTGTTTTTGGCGCTCGGTACAGTGCCCCACGGGCCCCGCGGTAGCGCACCCGGGATAGAGCCATTACCGCCCCGCCCCGCCGCGCCGTGCGGTGCGCCGCCCAGGTACGCCCCAGGAACGCTCTCGCAGGTACGCTCGTGTGCGCCCAGGTACTTACGGAGGTGTACTCGTAGGTACTTGCCGTGGTCCTCGGCTTTATTCCATCGGAACTCTTCCGAATAACGCGGAGAAAAATAAACACTCGTGAGGGATGTCTGCAGATGATCTTTTCGGACTGACAGCAAACAAGGTGCTAAAATACACAGCATTCAGCAGATACGAAAATGTTCAAAGAACTCAATTTGTCGGTCGCAAAGTCCCATATCTTCGATTCTTACCGAATAGTTGTAAAGAGCACGGTATTTATTTAATT